AATGCCAAAGGTCTGCAATGCTGTCATTGCTGCAAATGGAGGATTCTTTGACAAAAGCAAAGTTTGATGTAAAGAAATCTTATTTTAAATACAAATCATTATTTCTAACCTTGTCAATGTCTTGACTCTATTTTCTATTCATTTCACAACGTATGGTATGTGGTGAGTAAGTTAGACTTTTCAGGAAAAAACAAAATTGTTTGGGTGACCCCAAACTTTTGAACGGTAGTATGTATGTATGTGTGTATATATATATATATATATATATATATATATATATATATATATATATATATATATATGTGTGTGTGTGTGTGTGTGTGTGTGTGTGTGTGTGTGTGGAACAAACAGTCCATTGGAAAAATAAGAAGACATAATTTGGCAGAACATCTCAGGTCAAATATTTACATAAATCATAAGCCAGTTAATTTATTGTTTGTTATTTTCAAGGACATGGCCTAAGAGGAACAATGCAGCTGATCAGGTGTCATGGTTCTGTTTTACAAGAAGGACATTAACCACTGAAGAGTTCAGCCTTTCAAAGCAGTGAGGGGACATGACTAGATCAATAGCCATTATCATATTTCAATCAAAAGGTATAAATATTTTCATGCTCTAATCTTAGGGTAATATCATTGGTTACCCGAGAAGCTCAGACTCCTGCTGTGGCTTTGACTAAAACTCAATTTGATTTAAGGCCTTACTTCTTTGCTTTACCAACAGTACTGATGCTTTAGGCCATTTTTCTCTAAAAACTTAAGATAGAAAAAGTAACTTAGATCTAAACTGGAAGGTTATTAGTAATTCAGGATCTGGTGATAGCTCTGTGTTGGGCAGAAACTCTATAAAAAAATAAACTAAAAGAAATAAATAATAATAAAGAAATTCAGGTACAATGTCAATGCTTGCTTATAAATGTATTATGGCCTATAGATTTGGCCCAATGATGTTGCAGGATATTCTAAGAAGCCTTAGAGGCACAATATCTAGTGGGCCCCAGGAGTCGCTGTGTTATACAGTTTGAAGGTCAGTAAAATAAATCTAAAGCAGAGCAGCTGGGATATGGCTCACGGGTTGGAAAAGGAGGAATAATGGATGATTTAACATAATTTTTTTATATAAATAAGAACAGACTGTAGATTTAGGATCTTTTCTCTGGACTTTATTATATTACATGATTTAGAATATGGTCAGCTGATTTAAAAAGGCAGCTTATTGTAAAAATTTTATTAAATCATTCCATGCAACCATCTTTGTTTATTTTGTGTTTTTTTAGCTCAGCCATAGATTGCATGCTTTCTTCTAAGCTTTGTCTGGTAAACGTAACAAATCTGTTACCTTTTATCTAGTGTGCAAATGGTGAGATGAATGTTTTCACAGCTAAAGTCGATTAGTGCATATATTTGAACACAAAGGCTTTCTATACAGAAACGAACACAGACATCTAAGGCAGGCTGGTGTTTTCCTTGTAATCAGAGAAAAATAATTTCCAGGGGCCAATAATAGCTAGCAGGACTGCTCACCTTTAACGGCATCATGAAGACTGTGCAGGCTCGCTGCCAGCTGGGTGAAGACAGCTGAGGTGCTGCTCTGTGGGACGGCATCCGGCCGGACACCTGAGATACATGGGGCACATTTGTAAAACAAGCACATCTTATAAACACCTGCAACTGACTGTCTGATCAGAAAAAGGATCCAATGGGATTCCAGCGGATTATTATCATGTGTATGTTTGGGACTATACTGTATATTTAAACATGTGGGTATATCAACTTTAGCACTACAGAGAAATTCAAATAATATGGAAAAAAAACATAAACAAAACAAGATTTACAAATTTTCTGTAATAAAAAGCAGGCAGTTTCAGCTGAGGAATAAATGAAGACCCTCCACAAGTTAAGAATGCTTGAATCCCACCAATCAACCCTGGCATATGATATAACACATAATATTAATACTAGGGCTGGCTATCAAGTCAAGTTTCAAGATTCAGTTACCGTATTTTCACGACTATAAGGCGCACATAAACGTCTTTTTTTCCC